TTTTCGGGAGGCTTGGCAAGTAGCTCTTCTTTACTTTCGTTGGGGTAGAAGTTATTACATCGTAACTTTTATTTATGGGCCCTTCACCTCTCGCATAAAGATTGCATCACCCATTTAAATCCTATCTCATAATCAAACTCAAAATTCTGCTTCAAATATGTTTGTATTCATAAATCAGTACCTATTGAAAAAAGATAACATTATTTGAATGGCAATAAAGTTAGCTAGTTACCTCAATAAGTTGCCATTGTCGTTTTGTTTTTTCATGTGGTATCTTATCCCATCACTCAACTAATATGGGACAAAATACAAACATTTGAGAAAGTTTGCCAAGAAATCTCACAAGCAAATTTGAACCATTGTCACTTCCTTTTTCATCACCAAGTTCCACCATAATTTTTTAATTTTTTTCAAAGTTCCAAACTCGATCTGATTGCATCTTTTGAGTAGTAACTTCTCCGATTGAAGTATCTATCATTTTAACAAGCCATTAACACAAATGAAAAGTAATGATAACAACAAACTAATAATAAAGAATAAAAAGCAACAATCAACTCTAATATGAAATTACTTCTAATCTCTAATGTGGACAAGTAACGACTCATTTTTCACTTGGGAGCTAGCTCCAACAAAACTTGAAGAAGAAATTAAATTGCCATTACCGAGAGTAGGAGTTGTGATATTCTCATTCACAACTTGGTCATCTAGTTGATCAAAATTTAAGGAAGTTGTGCTATTGTTGTCAGCTTGTCGTCCTCGTAGGCTTTCTAACAATGATTGTGCTCTTACAACTAGAAAACCCAATAAAACTTAAAACAAGTAGTAACGTATTTGATCCCAGATAGGCACTGCTCTTTAATTTTTCAAATGTTGGACTTAAATTCATGTTCCTTATACAGAAACAAAGAACATGGTTTGAAATGCATTTGTTTTTTCATGTGGTATCTTATCCCATCACTCAACTAATATGGGACAAAATACAAACATTTGAGAAAGTTTGCCAAGAAATCTCACAAGCAAATTTGAACCATTGTCACTTCCTTTTTCATCACCAAGTTCCACCATAATTTTTTAATTTTTTTCAAAGTTCCAAACTCGATCTGATTGCATCTTTTGAGTAGTAACTTCTCCGATTGAAGTATCTATCATTTTAACAAGCCATTAACACAAATGAAAAGTAATGATAACAACAAACTAATAATAAAGAATAAAAAGCAACAATCAACTCTAATATGAAATTACTTCTAATCTCTAATGTGGACAAGTAACGACTCATTTTTCACTTGGGAGCTATCTCCAACAAAACTTGAAGAAGAAATTAAATTGCCATTACCGAGAGTAGGAGTTGTGATATTCTCATTCACAACTTGGTCATCTAGTTGATCAAAATTTAAGGAAGTTGTGCTATTGTTGTCAGCTTGTCGTCCTCGTAGGCTTTCTAACAATGATTGTGCTCTTACAACTAGAAAACCCAATAAAACTTAAAACAAGTAGTAACGTATTTGATCCCAGATAGGCACTGCTCTTTAATTTTTCAAATGTTGGACTTAAATTCATGTTCCTTATACAGAAACAAACAATAACTAGAACATGGTTTGAAATGCATAGAACAAAAAAAAGGAGATCTAATCCAGCAAAATTTCACACCTCTCAAGATTTATATATTAGTATATAGGTTATCGATTTATGGTAATAATTCCTCCAATGTATAATCTTATCTACAAAATTTGTGGTGAAAATATATCCATCAATCTTTCCAGAGGTGTGAGCATGATTTTTCCAACATAAATAAAGTAGGATGTATAACCTACCACTAAAATTTCTATTCTTTACAACAAGAAAACCCAATAAAAACACATCAAATTGCAGATTTCAAAAGCTCATAACTTCAATAAACAAAAACTTTATCCAAAACCCTACATTCAATTTTGAGTTTAAATACACTAGATTCCAAAGATTTGTTACTTGAACGAAGCAAACTTACCACATTACACAACTATTTGAAGCGGCTTTTGACAGAAATCGACTTTGAAGAAGAGAGTGGAATTTTGGGCAGAAATCGATTTAGATTTTGGGGGTTGGTTTTGGGTGAAGTGAGAGAAAAGAGAGTGAGTAGAGGGAAATAATAGAAAAAGAGGCAAATGAAAAAATAAAGGGAGGGAATGAAATTTTACCCGCCTATTTTAGCCACAGATGTTTAGCCACAGTTTGTACTATGTAGAGAATTTTTTATTTTTTAGCTAATTTTGCCACAATTTTTGCAACCGTGGCTAAAAGGCGATTTTTTGGTAGTGTAGGATTTCAATCACCAATTTCCACAAACTTCTCAAGAGTAACAGTTCATATTATTATGATTCAACAATTTAAGGGAGTCACTGAAGCACTTTGTTAAACCAAGAGGCAAGTTGATGTAACTACAGATGAGTTAGTAGTAACTCAAGTTGTTAAGAAGTGGTTAGAAGTTAGTTAGCTAGTGAGTTAGAGTGACAGCTAAGAGGTTTACTAATTGAAGCTTAATTCAGATTGTATAAATACTATTGATGTGTAACTGATTCAATAAGTTGGAATGTATGTGAATTGAGATTCTCTTTCAGCTTGTTCTCTTTTCTCTGCTTAGCTTCTAGAACATTCACAGCCATGAATGTTAACATGGTATGAGAGCCTCGATCAATAAGAAGGATCGTCTAAAGCTCAGTCCATCAATTTCAGCGTAGTAGGAAGATACAGATCATGGTGATGGATGGTGTAAACATTAATCCTGCGTTTTCTTCTGTTCTAGGCACAAATCGAACTGTGATTGATCACAATCACCCTCTGTTTCTACATCCAAATAATACTCCAGGTAGCTTTCTTGTTTCTCTTCAGCTCACTAGATCTGCAAATTATGCTCTGTGGAGCAGATCTATGAAATTAGGTCTGCTAGGAAAGAGTAAACTAGGATTTGTCGATGGAAGACACACTAAAGATAAGTTTGATGCATCCTTACATGATCAATGGGAGAAAGTGAATGCTTTAGTGTTGTCATGGATCATGAATGCTGTGAAATCTGATCTTCTAAGCAGCATTATCTATGCTTCGAATGCTCACAAGGTGTGGCTTGATTTACAGGAGAGATTTGATACTATTAATGGTTCTAGAATATTCTATCTTCATAGGGAGATTGTTACTCTTACACAAGGAACTCAGTATGTATCTGACTATTTCTCTAAAATGAGAACTCTCTGGGACAATTTGATGCACTCATGCCATGTCCAGGGTGTAATTATCCTGAATCTCGCAATTATTCTCAACACTGTGGCTATCAGAGACTTACAATTTCTCATGGGCCTTAATGAAACATATGCTCAATGTAGAAGTCAACTTCTAATGATGTCTCCGCTTCCTACTCTAAATAAGGCCTACTCACTGGTAATTAGTCAGGAAAGTCAGAGATCCATAGCTAGTTTATCACCAGTAAGTCAGGTAGTTGAGTCTATTGAAGGAACAGGCTTCTTTAGTCATAAAGGAGGAACTAGAGTAAATAATGGTAGGAATAACTACAGCGGAGGTAAGATGAATTCAAGGAGAAACTTTTCAGGAGGAGGCTCCAGTTATGGAGGAAACTACTCAGGCAGGATGCCTCCTGCCAGTGGAGTTAAACCACCAAAGAAGAGCTCAATAATATGTGAGTATTGCAACTATAATGGTCACACCAAAGAGCAGTGTTACAAACTGATTGGGTATCCACCTGAGTGGCCCTCATCTAAGAAGAAAGGAGTGTTTGCTAATCAAGTAGGAAGTTATGGTAAGTCTGAATCCGGAGTGAACTGTTCTAGTGATTCTGAGACAGCAACTCAATGCAATCTAGGAACCACTCAATCCAGTGCAGGTTCACATGGTTCACTTCCTCCATATTTCACTCAAAAGCAATACACTCAGATTATTCAGATGCTTAGCAAAGGTAATGAGTGGGAACCTTCCAATGCAGGTATACAGACTGCTTCATTTCCTAGTAATGTAGATACTAGTTGGATAATGGATACAGGTGCATCCAATCATATGACCTCAAATTATCATATGCTGTCTAATTATACTGAAGTTTCAAATCCTGAGAAGAGCAAGGTTATTCTACCTACAGGAGGGACAGTACAAGTATATCATACTGGAAGCTCCCATGTTTTAAATAATATGATCACTAATGTTCTGTTTCTACCAGATTTCCAGTTTAATTTGCTATCAGTTTCCAAGTTGACTAAGGAATTACAATGCTCTGTGGCATTTTTTCCTAACTTCTGCCTATTTCAGGATCTCTACACTGGCATAATGAAGGGGATTGGTAGAGAGAGTCAGGGGTTGTATGTGTTGAAGGATAAGGCTATCACTCAATCTCAACAATGTTTTTTTTATAGTTGTGCAAGTTCTGTTAACCAAAGGTCTCATTCTAGCAGTCTATGGCATAAACGATTAGGCCATGCTCCCCTGGAGGTGCTCAAGAAGCATGAGAGTCTTAAACATTTGGTCCTTGCAGATTATGTATGCATTGTTTGTCCTTTAGCTAAACACACAAAATTACCTTTCAGATTAGTAGGTCTAGTTCTAAGTCTTCCTTTGATATGTTGCATTGTGATATATGGGGTCCTTATAGAGTTCCCTCTCATAACAACAAAAGATACTTTCTCACTATTGTTGATGATCACACTAGATACACATGGTTGTTTCTGATGCAATTCAAGTCTGAAGCTATTGTTGTTCTAAGAGATTTTCTTACAAGAATAAAGAATTTGTTTTCTACTACTGTTAAGGTGTTAAGAACTGATAATGGTTGTGAATTTTTTAGCACTGAATTTTAACTTCTTATGTCTACTCTTGGCATTTTGCATTAGAGTTCCTGTGTCTACACCCCACAACAAAATGGGGTGGTAGAAAAAAAGCACAGAACTATCCTAAATGTAGCCATGTCCCTTAGGTTTCAGGTTGGAGTACCCTTGAAATTCTGGAGGGAATGTGTCACTACGGCTCTGTACATCATTAATATAGTGCCCTCAAAATTGTTACATTTCAAGTCCTCTTTTGAACTTCTCTACAACATCCTCCTTCCCTATCCCATTTAAGAGTGTTTGGTTGTTTAAGTTATGCCTCCACCATATCACTTTCAGATAAATTTGCTGCTCGAGCTACTCTTGGTGTCTTCATGGGATATTCCTCCACAAAAAAAGGCTACAACATCTATGATCTTCATTCTCAATCCTTCTTTGTCAGTCGAAATATAGTGTTTCATAAGTCCATATTTCCTTTCCTTCATACCAAGTCTCTTGGTTCTCCTATGTTTCCTGTTCTTCAATTCTCTCATCTGGAAGTTCAATCTAGTAGTCCATCTCCAAGCCCACCACCTCCTCAGCTTATTCCTCAGCCTCCACCACCAGTCCCATCACCAGTTGAACCAAGAAAATCTACCAGAAACAGACATCCTCCTAGATGGATGACTGATTTTGTTACTCTATCCTCTTACACTTGTTCATATCCCATGTCCTCATATGTCTCTTACTCTAATCTTTCACAGTCCTATCAGTATTCCCTACATGCCTACTCCTCTATTTCTGAACCTTCATCTTTCCAGCAAGCTTCCTCATATCCCTCTTGGGTACAGGATATGCAACTTGAAATAGATGCATTAGAATCCAATCACAACTGGTCTATTGTAGAACTTCCTCCTGGTAAGGTTCCTATTGGCTGTAAGTGGGTGTACAAGGTGAAATATAAATCTTCTAGTGAAGTGGAAAGGTACAAGGCTCGTTTGGTAGAAAAGGGTTATAGCTAGCAGGCTGGTATAGATTACTCTGAGACTTTTTCTCCTGTTGCAAAAATGGTAACATTCAGATCTTTAATAGCACTTGCAGCTTCCAAACAGTGGTGCATTTTTCAGATGGATGTCCATAATGCCTTTTTAAATGGTGAATTGGTAGAAGAGGTGTATATGCATATTCCTGAAAGGTTTTCCAGATAGGGGGAGTCTAAGATGGTTTGCAAACTTCATAAGTTGTTGTATGGACTTAAACAAGCTCCAAGACAATGGAATAAGAAATTGACTGATGCTCTTATTTAGATGGGATTCACTCAAAGTCACTATGACTACTCTTTGTTTACCAAGAAGTCAGGAGAAGAGTTAGTGATAAGTATAGTGTATGTAGATGACTTACTAGTTACTGGAAATAATCTGATCTTGATCAATAAAGCAAGGGAAGATTTGAAGCACAAATTCAAGATGAAAGATCTTGGAGAACGTAAGTTCTTTTTGGGGATTAAAGTAGCCAGATCACAAGAGGGAATCATGATATGCCAAAGAAAATATGCATTAGAGTTAGTTTCAGAAACTAGTTTGAGTGGATCAAAGCCAGTCAATGCACCACTTGAAGTTAATCAGAAATTGACTTATGTGGAATATGACAAAAATATATCTACCAAGACAGGACACAATGATGAAACTTTGAGAGATCCTACAGCATATCAAAGGCTAGTGGGGAAGCTTTTGTACCTAACAATGACCAGGTTGGACATAGCTTTTGCAGTTCAAGTCGTTAGCCAATATATGCATTGTCCAAAAAGATCTAATATGGAAGATGCACTGAGAGTTGTAAGATATATCAAGGGATCACCAGGAATTGGTGTACTGATGCCATCTTAAGCTACTAGTCAACTATTTGCCTATTGTGATTCAAATGGGGTGCTTATCTGGAAACAAGAAAACCTGTTACTGGGTATTTAGTGAAGTTTGGTGGAGCTGTAATATCCTGTAAGTCCAAGAAACAAGAAACTGTGTCAAGAAGTTCAGCTGAAGTTGAGTTCAGAAGCATGGTTGCTTGTACTGCAGAACTTGCTTGGCTGATAGGGCTGTTCAGAGAATTCGGAGTCCATATTAAACAACCTATAGACCTAATGTGTGATAGTAAAGTTGCAATTCAAATAGCAGCAAACCCTATATTACATGAAAGAACTAAACATATTGACATTGATTGTCACTTTGTAAGAGAAAGAATCACTCAAGGCATGATTAGAACTGATCATGTATCAACAGAAGAGCAACTAGCATACATACTTACAAAAGGCTTGGGAAGATCTCAACATGAATATTTAGTGAGTAAAATTGGACTTAAGAACCTGTTTCAACCATCAACTCGAGAGGGGTGTTAAACCAAGAGGCAAGTTGATGTAACTACAGATGAGTTAGTAGTAACTCAAGCTGTTAAGAAGTGGTTAGAAGTTAGTTAGCTAGTGAGTTAGAGTGACAGCTAAGAGGTTTACTAATTGAAGCTTAATTCAGATTGTATAAATACTATTGATATGTAACTGATTCAATAAGTTGGAATGTATGTGAATTGAGATTCTCTTTCAGCTTGTTCTTTTTTCTCTGCTTAGCTTCTAGAACATTCACAGCCATGAATGTTAACACACTTAAACTTACAGTTCACTCAAACTGTTCTCACTCTCCAAAAAGATAATCTCTCTTCTTTTTACAAACCTCACAATGATCACATCTTTAATAATGCTAAAAAGTATTACTACTCTATAATAATCCTATTACAAACTCAACAAAGACTAATAACCCTCATCTTTAAATATCCAAACATCACACAAAATAACTCACCAATTTACTCCAATTAGTGAACTCAATAAAGACTAATAACTCTAGTCTTTAACTAATCAAACTTTAATATTTAATAGTACAGACTCGAACACAACTCGTGAATCAGGTTTCAGTATTGATGTGATGAAGTCGTGCAGTTTTGCTCCAATGTGTTCTCAAGATGATGAATTTCATGAATATGCAATAGGTGTGACTCTCAATGATCTTTAGTTTATATATATGTATATATATATATATATATATATGCGTGCGTGTGTGTGTGCGTGTGCGTGTGCATGTGTGTTGCGCGCGCATGTGTGCGTGTGTGTGCGATCGTATGTGTGTTGGGATTTGTCATGACCTAGTATATCACATACTAGGACTTTTACTTCAAATTGGAGTTAGCCTCCTATAACAAATTTTTTTTATTACTTTCTTAAAAGAAATTTCATCCTATAAGGAAAATTTAACTCTTCTTTGAACTTTATTTTTGCTCTCTATTTTTTTATTTTGTTACTCCTTTATTTATTAGCTTCTTTGCTTCGTTATTTCAGCTATTTATTTGTTTTCTTATTCACTCTTTTATTTTTGCAATTTGTTTGTTTTCTTGTTTTTTGTAATTGCTCATATTTGTATAGACTATTTGTATTTACATCTAGAGATCTTGTTCACCTGATAGAGTATACATAAGACAACAAGTAGTAAATAAGGTTCACTTTTTCAACTATCAAAATTACTCCTATAATATTAAAATCCTTATACTTTACAAAATCATCTTAAAGCACTTAGGTGAGGTCGAAAATCAACTTACGTCAAAGTCTAAGTTGAGAGTGTGGTGAGCATTGAGTAGATCTTGGAATTGATAGTGAAAAGAGCTAGACGTCAGTCACTTTCTTCTTGAGCATACTAGTTGTAAATTGAGGAACCCACTCTTTTTATTTACGTGTGTGTCTAAATGAGTGGTTCCTACTATTGAGGTCGAAAGAGAAAATTGTCAAGTGGGCATTTGAAAAAATATATTCACTCACTATAGTCAAATGATACCCTATCATGTCCTTTGCCTACATTACAAGTCGATAAAAGTCCTTTGATCTCTTGTCTAGCGTGTTTCATTGTGATTTAATATGTACATTTGATCATCTTTGTAAGTGTGAGTGATTCAATTTGATTTCTTTGTAAGAATGAAACATATTTCTTTTGTGTGAGGGCACTTGAGTTGCATTCTTCTAACACTTTGTTGAATCTTGATTAGCATTTGTGCTCATATACATAGATTAGTAATGGTTTGTCAAGGTGTGAAGCTAGTATTTCATAACTTGAGTGTGTGATCATCTTGGTTTAAGACAATTATTTTGAAAATCATGTGGGCTATAGCTATTATAAGCACAAAAAAGCATGCATGCAAGCTCCGATCGATGGAGTACTATTTATAAACATCGTGGTTTAATATAAGTCTGATCCATCGCCTAAGGATTGGAGTTTGGCGCATTACCAAACTGCTTAAGGCTCACCAAAGTTAACAGCTGCAATCACTCATGTGCATCAAATTAGATTGGCGACATAAACGTCCACTTGGCGTAGCGCCCAAACAACATTTCATCGCTTTTGGAGAAAACCAAAAGCACAATGCAAAACGATGGAGTAAAAGATGAGTTCGGTGGCTGATCGAGATCGCCAAAGTGGTATCGAATAATTTCTAAATATTTTTTTCTTTGGAAATTTTGGGACGTGAAATACACACTTTTCATATTTCAGAACATTCTCTGCAATTTTTGAGATTTTGGAAAAGCTTGTGGCAGAAGTACCTAGGTTTGGAGTAGAAATCTTGTCTTATCTACATTTGATCTAAGACAATTAAATCTAAGGCTATTATGGATGAAGAACTTGATAATCTAATATTTTTTTTAGTTATGTCTAGTTAATCCCCCAATTCTTAGGGGTGTATAGTGTGTGAATTATAAATTATGATTGAGTATTAATTAATTACTTTTTAAATGTTTATTTGAATTGAGATTAGCTATTTCTTCATGTTTTCATCTATAATTAGAGGTTGCAAACTCTAATTTACTTTAGATCTCTTATGTTGTTTGTAAGAGAAGATAATAGTGAGAAGACTTGATCGACGATTACTTGATTTTATTCGATTAGTAGCTGAATCTAGAAGTAATTTGGCTAAGTCAGAGTAATATATTGTTTTGTATTATTTACACATTGGGGTTTGTAATGTGAAATTTGATCATTGATTAGCAAATAGTAGTCATTAACACCTATAATCTAGCTTATCAATGATTCTCAACTAATTGAAGCAAAGCTAATTACCCAATTACTTGATTATAATTCATACATGCATATCCCTAGAAATCTTTGCTACTCCCTCCGTTTCACAAAGAATGGTCTAGTTTGACTTGGCACGGAGTTTAAGAAACTAAAGAAGACTTTTGAATCTTGTGGTCCTAAATTAAAGTTATGTCAAATGTACAAAATTGCCCTGTAATTTTGTGGCCTTAAACATGTCACGTGAAAAACTGAAATTAAAATGTTACCAAAAAAAAGAAAGTGGTCATTCTTTTTGAAACAGACTAAAAAGGAAAGGAGGTCATTCTTTTTTAAACGAAGGGAGTAATAAACAACTCCCATTTCTTTAAGTTGAGTGCAATTGATTGATTGATCGTTAAATTAGAACAAATCATCGTTTATATTTTTTTTATTTAAAAAAATCATTTATTTTTATTGTAATTTTTATCAATGTGTGAATCATCAATGGTTTGAACACATTATAAGTTGAATTGTATTGGTTCATTCTCTATGGGATTGACCTTACCAATTCTTAATTAGGTTAAAATATTAAATACACATAACAATTTTGTGAGGTATAGTTGAGCTTTATCACCTAGCAAAAGCTATACACATTAAGATTGGTATTGAATGGTGTCTTAACAATGAGGTGAGAAAGTTGATGATCGAAAGTGATTCCCAATTGATTGTACAATGAATCATGGATAAATTATCCCCACCTTGAAACTAATTACTAGACATAGTATAATCCAAGACATCTAAGAAAGGTTGAAAAGCTTACAAGTTTATATCATCCAACACTGTTATAGGGAGGGTAGCAAATATTTTGACCAATATATAACGCCACTCAATATAGGAGTAGCTCCTGGTTTAATAGCCCCTCTCAACTCTCCTTGGGAGATTAGATAATGAGAAATTTATTATCTAGATAGAATGTTTCTGATCTCTTCTGCTCGAATAAAGAATTTCTATAATACTAACTTAATTCTCTGATGATAGGAAATTGGATAACATTTTTACATTTGGTGATCCTTGACAACTTTATATAGCTAACATTTTTATGGGAGCACATCCACTCATTTAAGTATATATTTGAATTAGTCATGTGACGAGTGACGACTAATCTATTTAATTTTATTTGTCAGATTAGATTATGTTGTTAGATTAGTTTCTTAAATTTATTTGCTCTCGTTTTCAATATCTTTAAAATTATGAGGGAAATTCAAATAACCCGAGAAGAGAAGAAAAAAAAAATTCAAAAAAAGTACTAATACACAAGTCTACGTACATCTAATTATCACAATCAATATCAATTCCATTTGTTTAATAAACACTATTTATAATCATGGGGTACAATTAGTTTTATCAATCATCTCTATTGCCGGTGATTGATTACTATTTTCTGTCTTGTTATAATCACCATAAAAGTATGAAGCAAATCCCCATAGAGAAAGGGCAAGAGAAACTCCTTTTTCTGCATTGAATTTTTCGCCATAAAGGAAAACAGCTAAAACTTCAGTGAGAGGAAGTAGAACTGATAATAAAATGCCACATACCAAAGAAGAAGCAGAATAGATGACTCCAATGGACCCTAAGAAGTAGAATTGCAGAATTATTGCACTCCATATTATCACAATATAATATTTGTCTTCTCCAAGTTCAAATGTTTTCGCCTCCCTTGAAATTGCCTGCCAAGTATATATGTTTTACACCCTTAAAAAAATATATATATAAATTTTGAACCCATATTAATTGCGCATTTCAAT